CGGAGGGTCCCGCAGCGCGGACTGAGCCCCGCAGGAAGGTCCCGCACCAAAGCCCCGTCGGGGGGTCCCGGAGCCGGGCTGAGCCCCGCAGCAAAGCCCCGTCGGGGGGTCCCGCAGCAAAGCCCCGTCGGAGGTTTCCAGAGCCCGAGAGCGAAGCCCCGTCGGGGCAACCGGTTACACCTCAACCCCAAGCCCGGAGTCAGATCGGAGGCAACACCCGGAGCCCCTGGAAACCCTCCGCTTTCCCGGTGAGCTGCAGAGCCCCGGGGGATCCCTCCCCCGGCCCCTCCATGGACTGAGATGGCCTCGGAGCTGGCCATGAGCTCGGAGCTGCCCACCAGCCCCCTCGCCATCGAGTACGTGAACGATTTCGACTTGATGAAGTTCGAGGTGAAGAAGGAGCCGGCGGAGGGCGAGAGGTTGTGCCCCCCAGCCGGGTCCCTTTCCTCCACCCCTCTCAGCACCCCTTGCTCCTCCGTGCCTTCCTCGCCCAGTTTCTGCGCTCCCAGCCCCGGTGGGCAACCGGCTCCAGCCCCTCCGGCTCCCAACGCAGCTTCCTTGGGCTCCAAACCTCAGCTGGAGGAGCTGTACTGGATGTCGGGTTACCAGCATCACCTCAACCCCGAAGCTCTCAACCTGACCCCCGAGGACGCGGTGGAAGCTTTGATCGGTGCCCCTCACCATCATCATCATCACCATCAAGCTTACGAGCCTTTCCGACCTCAACCTTTCGGGGCTGAGGAGTTGCCTCCCGCTTCCCATCATCACCCCGGCGGCCACCACCATCATCACCATCATCACCATCACCACCACCTGCGCCTGGAGGACCGTTTCTCCGACGACCAGTTGGTGAGTATGTCGGTGCGGGAGCTGAACCGGCAGCTGCGGGGCTTCAGCAAGGAGGAGGTGATCCGCCTCAAGCAGAAGAGGAGGACCTTGAAGAACCGAGGCTACGCTCAATCCTGCCGTTACAAACTGGTACATCTTGGAGAACGAGAAGTGTCAACTCCAGAGCCAGGTGGAGCAGCTCAAGCAAGAGGTGACCCGCCTGGCCAAGGAGAGGGATCTGTACAAAGAGAAATACGAGAAGTTAGCAAGTCGGGGCTTCCCCAGGGAAACTTCCCCTGCTTCTGCTCCCAAACCCACCGCCGACTTCTTCATGTGA